AACTATGGTTTATAGTCGTAGCAAACTCGGCCCTGCAGAAGGATACATTAAGCTCTATTTTTACTAAATTTACCATGTAACTTAAATCAATAGCATTCATAATTTCATAAAACCAGAAAAGACTTCTTAATCCAATTTTTATAACACTCAGAATTGTCATCTATTATCTCTTGGGATGTTGTAAAAAATTTTAAATTAAACTCCTCTGGGTTCACTTAAATTGCTTAAGTTGGAAAAACATTGCTTTAGATTGCAGCAAAGACTCCAAGGTGCATCTGATCTCCTCCATGCTCTCCCACCCTCCCTGCGCCTACGCCCCACACCTGTGCTTCAGAAGCTCTGACCTAAGTTCTTTTCCATTAAGGTCCAGGCAGGAAAACATACACCATGTTAGGTATTTGAACAGGGAATTTGCTAGGGGAAATTTATTATAGACGTTAAAGGGTGAGAAAGCAAAAAGGGCCATTATGAGCACAGACAAAGGCAGGAGGCAGCTACCACTCTTAGGGATGAGATTGGAGTTACCAAAACTGGAAGTTGGACAAGGGTCATAGACAGCTGGCACTCAGGTGTCAGGGTAGGGGGACTGCCAAGCCACTGCTGGTGCCCTGGAGCTTGGAGGATGGCATCCTGGGTCTGGGTCTCTGACCTCTGATGGGGGCACTACCTGGATGCTGCTCCTACCACAGGCCTCAGTCCAAGTATAATGAGTTCAAGAGTAAGGAAAGAAGCTGAAGCCAGGAACCGACTACTGCGGCCAATGACAGGCTATCCTTAGGGTGGCACATGAACCAGCAAAAGAGGAAGAAGGAAAGTCCCTCCCCACTCTTCTTGCTGCCCAATCTCCTTCTAGGATCTCCTAACAAGAAGCGAGCTGACCAGTGCAAAATGTGATCTCCAGAGTCTTCGTCTCTGCAACACAAGAGAGCATCCTAATCAAGACGGGGTCCCCTTGGGTCAGGAGAGCACTGGAAGTTGCACTGGTAGGAACAACAAGGTTAAAGCTTTTGTTTTCATGTCTATGTTTTTTTCTGATGGTCAAATAAATTTGGGGAAATCAGATTTTAACCCACTCTGGAAGTGTCACAGTGTCTGTTAGCCTGCATTATTATTTATTTATCAGAGGTAGTGGGGATTGAACACAGGGCCTCCCTCATGTTAAGCAAGTTCTCTAACATTGAGCTATACCTTCAACCTCTAGGAGCATATTAAAGGACCTGAGAAGTCCTACACCAAAGGAAAATGCTCTACTTTGCTTAAATTATTTCTAAAATTTATTCAGTGTAGACTTTCTTTTTTTTTTTTTAATTTTTATTGTTGGCTGTTCAAAACATTACATAGTTCTTGATATATCATATTTCACAATTTGATTCAAGTGGGTTATGAGCTCCCATTTTTACCCCATATACAGATTGCAGAATCACATCAGTTACACATCCATTGATTTACATATTGCCATACTCGTGTCTGTTGTGTTCTGCTGCCTTTCCTATCCTCTACTATCCCCCCTCAGTGTAGACTTTCTTCCTCAGAAAATATAATATTCCTCAGAACTTGCAAACTTTGTCAATGCTATTCTAAAGAAACTACTACATAAGTCCACCTTTTAAATCTATTAGCTTCTAAAGTTGGGAAAAAGAAAAACAATATATCTAAGTGAAATCAAATAATTAGTAAGAAGACTGCAATTCTATCTGCTAAGTATTCTACCTATTTCTCTTTTATGCTTCCTGGTATCTGTGAAATGGAGATCCTTGTCTGCCCTTTACCATACTCTTTGGGAAAAAAAAGTCCTCACTGACCCTCCAGAAGGATCACTCCTTGTAAGCTACAACAAAGACCATCAAGCTCAACAAAATCACATAGAAATGGTGGTGTTATGTGGAACTGTACAGATCATTGCAGGGTGCCCTGGGTGCCCAAGCTGCTTGAAAAACACAGAGCTTGGAAAGGGAGCTTGGAAAGTACAGAAGTCTCAGGGTTACAGGAAAGTACAGAAGTCTCTCCATACTGCCTCAAACTGGAAAAACCCCTGATCATAACATCTGACACTGACAGAATTGAGCCACAGAGAGCAGCACAGTCATGTTTGAGGAGCTGAACCGGAAGGCTGTGTAGATACAGGCTCAGAGGCCACCATTTGGCAGATGCAGGTTAGTGAACATAAAAGGTTCTCTACAAAGACCCATGCTATGAGAAAAAGAATGGTCAAAATGGATGTGGAGAGGAAGGAACGAATAACCACTGGATGATTTTTCAGCTCTTATGAGGACTGGCACAAAATTCTTCATATTTAACTAGACAGTTTTGTTTTTATAACACTGCAGTGTCCAGCTAATATAAGTGGCCCCATCAAGTTATGCTAATCCCGTTTTTACCTCTGAGTTCAACTTTGTTCATGAAGACAACTGATTCCTGTCTAGAAATCTAGAATTATTTTCTTAGGCAAAAACAGTTTGAATTAATTTTATGAATTTGACTATTTCATTTCCTACCCTAAAAATAGGTGTCAAAAAGTTCCAAACACTTGAATGTAGGTGCAAGTAACCAACACAAGATTTCAGCTTATTTTTTGCATCTTGATGTGCTACCTATAAACCTGACATGATGCTAAATTTACACTAAGATAAAACATCAAGGCCTAATTCTAGTGTGGAGAACCTTTCTGTCTCACTCATTTGGAAGGTAATGAGTTGAGGCAGAAGCCTGGAAAATTTGTCTCCAACACTCACACAACAAAGATCAGATGTTCTTGGGTATAGAGACAGGAGAAACCATACCCATTTAAATATCTATGGTTCCAGGAATTAAAATCTCCTGTTTACATCTCAGCCTAATTCAGAATTTTATTTCTGAGATTAAACTCTTCTATTGGATCTGGTTTCATTTCACAGGCAAAGCAATGTTCCCAAATATTGCCCAAGTCAGCCTCCAACCACAGACTTCTCTAAGGAAGAAGATCTATAATGGGTTACTTGTGTTTGTTCTTTTTCCTTAGAGAATACCACATCTTCCACCTTTGAAATGCTCTAGCTTTGTCTTGTTTCTCCTTTATTTGATTCTGTACTTTCTTGAAATTAGTCAGTCTGCTTTCCAACTTCAATGGTAACACAGCTTTCCCTTTGCTCAGTGGCCCACAATTGAAGCAAACCTCCCTCCCCAATCCCACATTTAGTTCTGTTACTTGAACCCCAGCATGTATAGGAAAGATTGATCTAAAAATAACAGAGTACCCTCTCACCCCTAAGTGGAATTCTGGCTCTGATTAACTTCATGACTAAGGTGCAGACAACACACAAATTAACCCTTTGTAGGCCTGAAAAATTACTCCTAATAAATATTTCACTACGAATATTTATTTTACTCCTAGTAAATATTTCAGCAGTATCTGCTTTTTCTCTTTAACAAATTTAAACATTAATTTTATAGGTTATTTCTGAACTAGGATCTAATTATGTTGGCTGTTATTTCTGATGATTCTGGATTGTTTGTGTATTTTCCAATTTTAAATCGTGAGCTCATGTTTAGTGAGACTTTATCTGTAGAAATCCTATGCAGCCTGGGTTGAAAATATATCTTTCTAGAGAAGGCTTTGAATTACTTCTATTAAGTGCACTGTATTATTACCAGGCCCATAATGTTTTTTTTCCCCTCACTTAAAGAATCTAGGTCTTCTAGACAGTATAAATTCAAAACCTAAACTGGAATGAGGGTAGCCTAAGGTTCTCAGGTTCTTGTTCTCAGGGTTTTCCTTTCTTCCCCTTTCCTTAGTAGATCAGGCTAAGCTTGAAAGTCTCTTTTAAATCTCACTTTGAGAGGAAATGAATGATTTAAGTTCTCCTCTTTCACAGTTTCACAATCATTCAAGGGGTCTTTATTTGAGAGTCTTTTTTTTTAAATTTATTTTTTAGTTGTAGTTGTACACAGTAAGTTTTATTTATTTATTTTTATGTGGTGCTGAGGATCGAACCCAGGGCCTTGCACATGCGAGGCAAGCGCTCTACTGCTGAGCCACAACCCCAGCCCTATTTTGAGAGTCTTAAATACAATTTTCTGCCCCTCGTGGGCCCAAAGATTTGTCAACTGTTCTTTTATGGTCATTGAAACCCATACCTAATGTTAACCAGACTGGCAGAAAAGTTAATCCAGAGGAGTCAAAAGATCAATTAAAAAAAAATAATAAATGAGTTTCCAGGGGACCCTCCTGCCTTTCATAATAGCATTTAAAAGCATGCATGTTATATTTCATCTAGCATATCCAAGTGATTTGTAGTAAAAGTATTTTCAGATTATCCAGTCAAAAATATTGCGAGAACTCAAAGTCTTAAGTTGTTATTTTTTGTGTATTTCACTTTAAACATTTCCATTTTTCTTATCTGTAATTCCTTTGGATCTGAAAATGAACTTGTTTGAGCGAGACATGGTGGTACACACTGGTAGTCCCAGCTAATGGGGAGGATGAGACAACAGAATTGCTTGGGCCTAGGAGTTCAGGGCTTGACTGGGGAACACAGAGAGACCCTGTCTTTTTAAAATAAAAAAGAACTTGTTTAATAACCATTTTTATCTTTTACAGACTTACATGGAAAATATATCCTTAGGTAAAGTGAAAAGAATAATTGAGCATTTATCTGCCAACAGAAACTATCAGTGTGGAGAGTACAGTTCCTCCTTCTGCTGTTCAGTCTCCATTAACATGGTTCCAAAGTATTCTCCGACTCCCCCAAATGAAACATAGGATGTGAATGCTTCCTTATTAGAAATAAGCTTTGGGGAAAACAAGCAAACAAAAAAGGAACAATCTTATTCTCAAAGAAATGTAGGTTCTCCTTGGGAAAATCAAGATTCAGATCTTAAATCTAATATTTGAAGTTTTTCATTTTCTATATCCTTTAATAGAAATTGTTGTGTGGGGAAGATTGTGTCTTCACAAAAACAAAATTAACTTTCTATTTGATAAATTTAATTAAACCCAACAATCTATTTTTTTTAAAAAAAAACATGTTATTGGATTAAGTAATAGTAATAAGAGGAATAATTTAGAAAAGTTTAAGAGTGATATTGGAAAAGTGAGTAGAGTGATGCAAATTTTAAGTGCTAGATAGAATATTCAAAAGGCCTTATGATTTTTGGAAACTGTTAGCAACACAATGTCTATCACAATTTTACAGATCTAAGGAAGGATATTGCTTAGTCTCTCTTGGATATCTATTGTACTGATTACCAACATTGTCAGAGAGTGGATTGAGCTTAAATTCTTCCTTCTGCAATTCAAACATATTTCCTCTTGTTCTATTCTTAATGGAGACCAGATTCTTGTGAATAACCCTTCATCTTCTGGAAGACTCACCCTCTTGCCGCGCATTCCACTGTATTGTCTTAGTTACCCAGCCGCCATGGAGGATATCCTGAAGCAAAAAGTTCAAGATCAAACCATACGTCTTTCTTCATGAACTAACAAATATAATTTTCTCCTTTCAGTTTCATTAACAGTAAGAATTTATCTTCAAATAACACATTGAAGCCGAAGGTGCCACAGGGGGAAAAAAAAGTAGCACTTTTAAATTCCACAGAGGCTTGAAAATATTACCTTGGTAAACATTTTTTAAGTAATGCTGTTTGTTGAATAATTATAGTTTGAACTTCTCTGTCATCAGTATCAAATGGCTAAGTCGTCAATGCCCTTTTGCTCTAAAACAAGTTCTGTTTCTGACCAAAAATTATATTATTCCAGGGTAAAGTTTGATTTGTCTCTGTCTCCAGAGTGTTCATTCAAAATCAATCAATTTGGATAATTAAATACTGTCACCTCTGTTTGCCCCCTATCCCATACCCCAAATGCATTTATAAACATAAGGTCTTTTATTTTCAATAATGGGTATTCATGTTTGACTTTCCTGACATTTGCACTTTTTCCACTTCATTTTTTTCCACATCGACTCTCTTTACATATTTAATCCCAGGAAGAAACTGTTATTTATAAGGACCTGAATAACCATGTATTCTAGTAACCATGTATTGAAAAGGATCAGAATTGCTAAGTAAGAATTGCTGTAAGAATTGCTAAGTACTTCTTATTTCCTGGGGTTTCTGTTAGGTGCTTTATTTATTTAGTGGTACTAGAGATTGATCCCAAGACCTTGTATATGCTAGGCAAGTGCTGTACCACTAAGTTACATCCCCACTCTTTAGTTGGGTGCTTTGTATAAGTTATTTATTCTCTTAACAACATGTTATGAGTTGAACTCTATATTCTCTAAAAAGAAATGATGCAGTCCTAGCTCCTAGTACCTCAGAGTGTGACCTTATTTGGAAGTAAGGTCTTTATAGAAGTAATTATGTTAAAGTGAGGTCATAGGGTTAACCCCAATCCAGTGTGACTGGTATCCCTTATAAAAAGAGGAAATTTGGAATCAGTGACATACACATTGATAAAGTGCATGAGAACCTAAAGACTACCATCAAAGCCAAAGAGAGAAGCCTGGAACAAATCCTTCCCTAGAGGCCTCAGAAGAAATCAAGCCTGCTGAAACTTTCAGCTTTTTTAGCTTCCAGAACTGTGAGACAATACATTTCTATTGCTTAAGCCACTCAGTCAGGGATACTTTGTTATGGAAATTCTAGAAAACTAATATATAACCGTACAATTTAAGTCTTATTCCCTTTTTATAAGGAAAGAGAGGAAGAACCTTGCTCCAAATCATGTGGGTAACAAGCAGAAGAGATGCAGTTTAACCCAAATTTGTTTTGTTCTAAAACCTGTGATATTTGACTTATATTATGCTGTCTCTAAACTCACTTTATACCACATTAAGTTAATACTTTTTAAAAATCTATATAATAAAACACAAACACATACTGCATATGGGCTTGTATAGTCGAGATATTATTTATTCTGAGGAGAACTTTAGAAGATAATTCCACATCTTGAGGGGTGAGTTATATAGGAAACTCAAGAGGTAGGTAAAGTTGTTGACTTGATCAGGAAAGGCAAGAGCTTTACTAGTACCTAGATTATCAGCTAATTCACCCTGAAAATCAGTTGGAATTGGAAAGGTAAAACTAGACCCAAGTGGGAAGGTCTTAGAAAGTAGAGAGAGTTTGTGTTTGCCTACTTCACTGAGGTTGGACATGGGAATGAAATGGCATAATTTTTCTAGAAGAGGATCCAATGGATGATAAAACAGATCCAGTTGGGAGAAAGGCAGTAAGATACCTGGAGAACAGGTAGTTAAAACCAGACAAGGACCTGAGAGAAAAGAAAGAATTCTCAGTTTTTAAACAGGTGCTATGGACAAAACTCTAGTCCAGGACCAGATAGGCTCAGGAAGGGACCATTAAGTATAGATGTATGGACTGCTCAATCCATGAAGGTACCTGGCTAGGTGGTGAGTGGGAGCTGAAATTCAACCTGCATTCCTCCTACCAGGTATGTGCCATAGAGCTGTGCTGTTCTCTTTTTCTAATTCACACAAAGGTGTCCCATTGGTTACCATGGGACATGATATCTCTATGCAAAAAACCATTATCCTAAGATCAGGGCATTTGTGCTGGACTCTCAGAAAGGGTGTGGAAAGAGTAGGGCCTGATGGTCACTATAGTGTGTGAGCTTTCTGTTACTATTACGAATACGTGAGATAATGAACTTAAAAAGAGAAAAGCTTTATTTTGGCTCATAGGTGCAATAGTTTCAGCCCCATTGCTTTTTGGGACAATGGCAAGGCAGTACATCATGGTGGGAGCATGGGGCCAAGGAAGCTGCATACCTCATGACAGCTGAGAAGCAAAGAGAAAGGAAAGATAGACAAATTTTGTGCTTCATTTCCACAAACGTAGCACAGACAGACACCCAGACAGGGTTGCCAGACAAACTACACAAAGTCCAATTAAATTGAGTTTCAGATAAATAACAAATGCTTTTTAATAAAAGTACTTCCCATGCAATATTTAGGACATACACTAAATTTTTTTCATTGTTTATCTGAAATTCAATTTTCACCAGGCTTCCTGTATTTTTATTTGCAAAATCTGGTGATCTTACACTAGGAGAACCTATAGCTCAGCCCCTCATGGAATGAGAGTGATGGCACAGAATTGGTAGTGGGAGTGTTGATAGCTAGGCCTAAGGAAGTTTGCTTCACATTTAAAGTTCCTGGACTGTCTGGCCCACAGTAAGTGCTCAGTAAATATTACACATTATTACCACTATAGCAGTTAGTGACATACCCTCTTAGGCCCCTGGAGAAGATATAGAGGGCAAAGGGAAAATGCAAATGCAAGAATAGAAAAAATTGGGCTAATATGATTATTTTAAGAGTAGACTTGGAACTGGCAAGGTTTATTTATATATATTTTTGCAGTTCTGGGGATTGAACTCATGGTTTCATGCTTGCTAGGCAAGCAATCGACCACTGAGTTACAATTCCAGTGCACTGGAAAGGTTTATGTTAGATAGATGGTGAGGCATCTGGTTTCAGGACCCAGCTCTCTTGATGATAGGAGTCTCATTGGTTCCTGAGCCAAGGAAATGAAAGAGGACAGAGCTTCACCACTCTAAGGGACTATAGGTCTAGAAATACAGTAGCCCATATTTTCTCTTTAAAGGAAACAGGAAGAGATTCAGTATATATATGAGAGACACAGAAGTGGATGTTTTTTAAATGAAGTGGAATGACATAGTATTATTATATTGGAAAACTGAGGAAAAGCCAGCTATCAATTAAAACAACCAAAAAATTCCTTGCTGATGAATCAAACTCAAGAAAAGCATACAGTGCTCTTTTTGATTAGCTTACCTTTTGAGTTTATGGCTAAATCCTCCTAGCTAGTAATAAAAAATCTTTTGGAAAATGAAAAGAATGTCCTAAGAACAAATTAAAAGGTCAAAATAGTGATCACACAATTGACAACTTACTGGTAACTCTGTTTTTTTTTTTCCTTTGAAAATATGTTTTTACTCCTGAGTAGCTGCACCTTAAAATTTTCAAGTGATGTTACAGAACCACACAAAATACTTCTATAGCATAAAATTCTTGACAGCTAAGAAATTCTAAAGTATATATATATAAATTTCCTGATTATTGGAATAGGAACTTTCAACTTAGGGTCACTGTTTATTTTTACTTAGCCCTATGATGATTTTCCTTTCTTTTGACTTTTCCTTTCTAAAAATGTGTCCACCAATGGTGATAGTGAAAGTAGGTGAAATTAAAATTAATGCTTTTACCAATTCTGGCAAAAGTCCAGAAGGGAAAAGGTGTGAAGTGATTGGCTACAATTAGCACCAAGTATATGACCCTGAATATAGCAGTCACTCAATAATTAGTTAATTAGGTTCTCTGTCTATTTTTGTCTTCTGACCATCATCAATGTATTCAAAGTTAATTATAGTTAATTTTAATGCTATGTGATGTTACCAATTATCATGTTACATCCAAATACATAAAGGGTAGAATCAATGCCCACTTGAAACACACATGATTTTATTATTCCAGTCTCACAAAAGCATTTGAAAGCCACAGCTGTTGATAATGCTTTTGATTTGCCAGATCCTCTAACAGTCTACTTACTTTGCCTTGAACATGGCATTTGTACCACATTAAAGTTTGGCAAGCTTAATCTTTGCTAACCACTGGCAAATGTGAACATGCTATAAAATATAAAATATATATTTCAGCCAAAGCCATTATCAGGTATACATTTGTTTGGATTTGACTAAGAGCCTCTAATTTGTTCATGTGCACTTGGCATCTTTCTGCATGGTGATTATGCTTGCAATTTATATATTATATGTCTGACAGCCAACTAAAGCTCTAAGTACTGGTACAGGAAGAAAAGAAAGAGGAAAGAAAGAAAGAAATCCAATTTTACTTCTGTTAGTGGGAGAACTTCCCTAATCTCATGGAGGGAACTAAGAAGATCAGTGGTAATCTCCCCCAATCTCACCGTACCTGCTACACATTAAGAATGTTTTTGAGTAGTTTGCATATTCTCTTTCACATCATCCCCCAGGAGAAGTTACCCTCGCAGTCTACCCAGCTAAGAACCTCAGAATAGAGTAAAGACTACATGATCTGGCTTTCTCTGAACACAAAGCTCAAGCAAATACTAGCACAAGACCGTTCTTCAGTGTGGAAGTCTGCACCATCCCCAGGTGTAGGTAGTATATGATATTGAGAATACTGATCTGTTTCATTTTTCCATTCATCTACATAAGGACAGCCACAGTGATGCATGATACTGGGTGGAGCTGGTGACAGACTCCTTCCCCAGTGGACATTATAGGAAAGTTTTCATTAAACTATTCATTGACAATTTTCTCATTTCACAACTTAAAAATCTTTTCAATATGACATCTTATCATTACCTCATGACATGTTTTGAAGTAGAAAAACTAGGAATTATGTAA